GATCTGTGCATGAAAGATGGAAAACCTGCATGTAGATCTGTGCATGAAAAGATCCATGTAGATCTGTGATGAAAGATGGAAAACCTGTCATGTAGATCTGTGATGAAAGATGGAAAACCTGTCATGTAGATCTGTGATGAAAGATGGAAAACCTGTCATGTAGGGCTAAGTAGAAAGATGGAAAACCTGTCATGTAGATCTGTGATGAAAGATGGAAAACCTGTCATGTAGGCTAAGTAGGAAGATGGAAAACCTGTCATGTAGGGCTGAAGTAGGAAGATGGAAAACCTGCTCATGTAGGGCTAAGTAGGAAAATGGAAAACCTGTCATGTAGGGCTAAGGAGGAAGATGGAAAACCTGCACTGTAGGGCTAAGTAGCGAAGATTGGAAAGACCTGTCATGTAGATCTGTGTTAAAAGATAGCGAGAACCTGTCATGTAAGGTAAGTAGGAAGACGGAAAAACCTGTCATGTAGGCCTAAGTAGGAAGATGGAAAACCTCTCATGTAGGGCTGAAGTAGGAAGATGGAAAACCTGTCATGTAGGGCTAAGTAGGAAGATGGAAAACCTGTTATGTAGGGCTAAGTAGGAAGATGGAAAACCTGTCATGTAGGGCGAAGTAGGAAGACGGAAAAACCTGTCATGTAGGCTAAGTAGGAAGATGAAAACCTCTCATGTAGCGGCTAAAGTAGGAAGATGGAGAAAACCTGGTCATGTAGGCGAATAGGAAGATGGAAACCTTCTCATGTAGGCTAAAGTAGGAAGACGGAAAACCTGTCATGTAGGCTAAAGTAGGAAGATGGAAACCCTGTCATGTAGGCTAAGTAGGAGATGGAAAACCTGTCATGTAGGGCTAAGTAGGAAGATGGAAAACCTGTCATGTAGGGCTAAGTAGGAAGATGGAAAACCTGTCATGTAGGGCTAAGTAGGAAGATGGAAAACCTGTCATGTAGGGCTAAGTAGGAAGATGGAAAACCTGTCATGTAGATCTGTGATGAAAGATGGAAAACCTGTCATGTAGGGCTAAGTAGGAAGATGGAAAACCTGTTATGTAGGGCTAAGTAGGAAGATGGAAAACCTGTCATGTAGGGCTAAGTAGGAAGATGGAAAACTGTGCATGTAGGCTAAGTAGAAGATGGAAAAACTGTCATGTAGGGCTAAGAAGGAGATGGAAAACTGTCATGTAGGCTTAGTAGGAAGATGGAAAAACCTGTCATGTAGATCTGTGTTAAAGAGGGAGAAACCTGTCTATGTAGGGCTAAGTAGGAAGATGGAAAACCTGTCATGTAGGGTAAGCTAGGAAGAGAAACTGTCATGTAGGTTAAGTAGAAGATGGAAAACCTGTCATGTTAGGGCTAAGTAGGAAGATGGAAAACCTGTCATGTAGGCTAAGTAGGAGAATGGAAAACCTGTCATGTAGGGCCTAAGTAGGAGAGATGGAAAACCTGTCATGTAGGGCTAAGTAGGAAGATGGAAAACCTGCCATCTAGATTCTGTTTTTTTTTTTTGTCAGGTTGAAAGATGGGGACCTACCATGAAGTACTAAGTAGAAAGAGAGTCGATAGAGAGGTGAGAAAACATGTGGAGGCAGTTTGCTAGCAGGTTTTTCTGTACTATACAGAGCACTGGTGAGGAAGGAGAGTTAAGTTGTGGCTGGGTACACCTGCCTCTCTTTGACGAGCATGGAACATCGTTACACAGCAAGTACGTACTCTTGTAAACACTACTTGTCTTGTTATTGTTTATTAACTTGACAAGTATTACAATTATGTAATAAGTATTATTAGTAAGACGAATGATTACAAGTAAGGGGAATTTGAATTAATCAAGTAATTAATAAATTAATGAATGATTTTGTATGTGTCACTTATCCATTTATGTATGTGTATTTTTTGCATGCATAGCATTATATACATCGAACATCCCCGCACGTGTGCGTATCATGCATGTGCAAGTATATAATTGGCATTTGTGTTGAATTAGGTCTTACGAGTTGCTTGTTCATGGTGGCACACCATTTGAAAAGGGAGTGGAAGTGGATCCATCCGTCAGTAGGCGAGGTATTTCACTTTAATAGGTCACTTACTTTTTTATAGGTTGCTCACTAGCTTTGTAGACTTTATATTTTTCTCTCACTGTTACCTCTTCCTACAGCATAGCATTTTGGGAAATTTTAAAACGTGTTTTGTTAAATTAATAGACTAAACTAGATAAGTGACTAAAACCTATCCCCAACAGAAAAGAACAATTGAAATATACGTATAGCATGATATCTTTCTCATTGGCAGAAGCGTTCAGCCGTTCTAATATTTGGTGTTGAACTATACTTCATCTTTTTGTGTTAATTTGTTGTTCCCACAGAGGAATTCAACCCCTTGCGGACTTTGCTATCTGGCAGTAAACAGCCCAGGTTGGTTGTCCGACTTTCATCCCCATCTAAAGACCAGAAAGTAATTCTCAAGTACGTTTGTCAAGTTTCTGCTTGTTATTCATAGTAAGATAATTAGCTAGAGAGAGAGAGAGAAAGACACACACACACACACACACACACACACACACACACACACACACACACACTCAGAGAGCTTTTTTGCTTTTTTGTCATCTTAAATATTTTTATTGAACTATTTGATTATGACTGATTTGATCTAAGCCCCATTACGTGTTCTTTGCAGCACATTGCCAGATGTCCTAGTTGCTCCACTGGGCTATTTGCACTTTGTATCCTTCTACAGACAGCTGCTAGCAGAAGCACTGCTTTGTGACAGGACCAGAATGGATAGTGCAGGTTTGTAGTTGTTTAATTTTTTCACTTATTTGCAAAATATAGTTCCAATTACCTAGCTTTTGACAACTATGCGTCTAGGGAATTACATATTCATCATTCAGATAATGAAATCTGACAAGTAAATTTGCTATCTTTATTACTGCTATGACTTACACCTGTCGTACCTGACGTATAAGACTTGACATACACGGGCGGAAGAATTACAAGAAAAAACAAATGCAAACTAATGTATGAGCATGCGTTTAAGCATGCACATGTATGTGTCATAGTGTTGGTGTGCGTGTGTGTCAATGTACTCCATTAATAATGAAAAATTTGTTTCAGAGCTCATACACTCGCCTCTCTTGTCAACATTTTCATCTGCGGTAGGCGTGCCTGATCTTATGGATGCACTTCAAGTTGTTTGGGCAGAAAGAGTGAAGACAACCCCTCGTTCAGAGAAGGTACCGATTTGCACCATCTGCACAGCCAAGGGTTGAACACAAAGTGTGCCGTCATTCCATCTGCAAATATGAGAATATAACAAATATGTCTTAAGGGCTGGTTTCTATTGAGTCACTGTTAAATATAACACTTAGATCCTTCCACACTAGATGAATGCACTAATGCTCATAATAACATTTGCCACTGGAATAACAAACATTGCTATGGAAACTTGGCCTAACAAGTAATTGTGTTTTACTTGACAGAGAGATGCGGAGCACATGAGAGAGCTGTTTGTGACAGTCTACATGGAGACTGTATACCCATTATTACACAACGCATCATTAGTGTGCTCAAGATTTGATGACCACAACTCTACAGAAGTATGTTGCCCATGCCCCCTTCATTGTACTAATCGTTGCTCTACTTAATATGTGCATGTGGCAGCTTTGTCAATGTGCCACCAATGTCAATCTCCTTAAAATGTCAGGAATTACGTAATGTTTAGCATTATGATTGTCACATGGCATCTTCTGATATTGGCTTTCATCATCCACGTAAGGAGTTTCCGAAGCTTCTATGCTATGCCTGTGAATTAAAGATTTATTGCTGAAATGAACCTTGGCTTCCATTCTAAACCATTATATTCTATTAGGAAATTAATTTTCACCTCAATTTGCAACTTCTGCTGACCAGAACAAATTAACTACCTATTCATTTATTATTGATTTAACGTCACTAACTTGCATGCATTTTTAGCTCATCTGATGAAGTCGGATGCAGCTTGTAGAATCGCATGAGCGTGCGTCCGTCAACAGTTGGGCACAAATCTCAACCGCTCGACGTACGGTCACGATGTTCGGATTTCGGGGGGAAGGGGGGGGGATCGTGAAAAGGACTCGGGATTACCAATTTGGGGGGTCAAAGGTCAAAGGTCAAGAGGTGTAAAAGAAGGGGGAACATTCCCTCCTTAACTTATGGTATAGGGAGGAAATGAAGAATTGCGGCACAAATCTGAACGGCTCACCCTATGCTTTTAATATTTGGTGTATAGTGTGATGGGCAGGAAACCCATCACCAGTGCAAAATTGGCGGTCACAGGTCAAAGGGCAGTGGGGGAAAGGTCAGATATCAGCCATTTTCTGAGGACATGGCCTAATGGACAGAGTGAACAACTTTTTTGTTTCAGTGCTAACCTACCATTTTTATCACTTTATTGAAAGAACCATGAAATGTGCTTTCCACTGACGTGCAAAGAGAAAGTGTCTGATAACTTTTTGACCTTCAAGAGGAGGGTTAAACATTGATTTGTTGACTGTTAACAAAGGACTGAACTGTGTTTGATGGTACTTGTTTGATCGTGGAAGACTTAAATTTCACAGTGAAATTCTGCATGCAAAACTTACTTGAACAACGTTTACACGCCTTAAATCATATATGAACTTGATTCTCTATATGAGATTCTGTACATTGGGAATACAATGTCAATAGCGTCAATGTTTACGCAAACGTCTGTTTTTGATTAAGGCCAACTATAAATAGGCCTACCTCGCAGGTGCTAAACGACATACATACATACATACAGCATGGGCTAAACGATAAAACGAAGGTAGCAACTAGTTCGGATTATCTATTCCCTGCACCTAGTTGGTATGCACGCCATCTATCGGAACAGAATGAGAAGAATGTTCTGGCACGATAGGTCAAATGTATATTGCGCTCAAAAGTGCAGAAATGATTACTTTCTTAACTTCAGTTTAACCAATCTTGAGATAAGTAATTGCAAAAATGAATCGTCAAACCTACCAATGAAAATTTGCCAGTTTTGTACTGTCCTTGTTGTAATGTTCTTATTATTTGTTGCTCGATGATATCGAACCATAATTGAACTACGAAGATTATAACACCTCATTTCTGTCTAATCATTCCCGCTGCTCTTTTATTTTCTTATCCCGGACATCCGCTCGCGCATGCGTCACATTGCACACATAGAGTTAGCACCGATACCAAACGTAAACAATAGGGCTGGACATCACAGTCCTCCCCAACTTGAACGGAATGTCTACGCCATGACGAAGTCTTTAAATCTCTCCGGCAGCCGGCGCTCTCGCTGCGGTCTACCTTGCACCTCAGGTAGCCTTGGAGCGTGCTGGACCACAGTGTCCGGCGGCGGATCGTCTGGTCCGGGGTATTGGTGTAAACCCAGCTCTTCCTCCTCCTCATCCGATGACGTCGGGACGTCTTCTGGACGTGTGGGGGAGCGTTTAAATCGGGACGAGTTTCTGGTTACAGTCTTTCCATGACGCTCTGCTGTCACCATCGATCCGTTTCTCTTCGTCACAACGAGGGGTTTCGGACCAAACGGGGGGTCGGACTTCCTCATGCCCTCTCTCTTCAGGAGCACCGGTTCACCAATCTTTATACCAGACTCTCTGACATATGCCTTTCGATCCGCATACACCTTCATCCGCGCTTTAGACTCGCTGTCCTTCTGGCGGACGTCGTGCTGCGGTTTCTCGTACGCGATCCGGGGTAGGGTTGTTTTGATGGCCCTCCCGAACATCAGCGTAGCTGGAGGTACGCCAGTGCTGCTGTGAGGAGTTGCTCTATAGTTCAACAGAAAGCTGTGCAGCTCCTGGTTCCAGCTTTTTCCTTCCACTATGGCAGCTTTAATAGACTTCTTTAACGTCTTCATGAAGCGTTCTGCCTCGGCGTTTGCGAGCGGCCACAGCGGAGTAATCTTACGATGCTTGAAGCCTTTGTGCCGTGCATAGTCAGAGAATGCGCTGCTGTTGAAGGGGGGTCCGTTATCCGACTTGACCACATCGGGTACACCGAATTCTCCAATGATCTTGTCAAGGACAGGGATGACCGCATTTGCTGTGAGAGAGGACACTGGTTCCACGACGACGTAGCGTGAGAAGTCGTCGGAGATTACCATAAAGTGCGTACCCATGCCAGGTACCTGTCCAAAATCAGTGCTGATCTCTGACCATGGACCTTCAGGCAGTGCCGACATTTTTAGGGGTTCCCGTGTTTGGGTTGGCGTTGCTACCTGGCATGCCATGCAACTACGAATCATTTCCTCTACTCGATGGTCTATACCGCTGAACCACACTTTCTCACGTATGAGCGCCTTCGTCTTGACCATGCCTTGATGACCAACGTGTGCCAGCTCGACAGCGCGTTGTTGCAGTTCATGTGGTACAACAATCTGTGTGCCACGTAGAATCAAGTTGCCGGATTCGGTCACAGACAGTTCCCCTCGAACTTTGTGAATTCGATCGAATGATGCTGTGTTAACACCGGGTCGTTGTCTCGCGATCTCCCATTTGCCAAAACGGATGGCGTGAATGACAGCTTGCAGGGTCGCATCGCGTTCGGTGCAGTTGTGGAGTTCAGTCAGGGTCATTGCTTTGGGTGCAGAAGTAGCAGCAATCTGGTTGATGTACTCCTCCATAACCCTCTCCTCTCTCCTAGAGCACTCAGTGACGCTAGGTGTGTGTCTTGACAGGTAATCTGCTGGATTGTCCTGGATCCTGCTCGATCTCGTACGGCTGGAGTCTGAGTGTCCAACGTTCGATACGTGCTGGAGGCTTTGACCGCGGATTATTGTACAGCGGCACCAGTGGTTTGTGGTCGGTGTATATGGTTACCGGACTTCCCATCACATAGATGTGAAGGTGTTCACAGGCCCATACTACAGCCAGGGCTTCGCGCTCTGTTTGGCTGTAACGCTGTTCAACTGGTGTGAGCGCTCTGCTGGCATACTGTACAGTGTGACACGTGCCGTCTTTCTCTGCCTGCATCAGAATTGCGCAGAGACCTACAGGACTGGCATCGACGTGCAGTTCAGTTGCCAATGAGGGATCGAAGTACCGCAGTACTGGCGCTTGTGTCAGTGCGGTCTTCAGCGCATTGAATGCTGCTTGATGTTTTGCCAACCATTGCCACGGGATGTCTTTCTTGGTCAGTTCTCGGAGGTCGTGCGTGATTGTTGCGTAGTCGTGGACGAATCTGGACCCGCAGTAGTTTGACATTCCGAGGAGACTACGGATCTCGGATGCAGACTTTGGCGGTTCCATCTCCAGAATTGCTTGGATTTTCGATGGATCAGCGGCAAGACCTGCTTTCGAGAAGATGTGACCGAAGAATTCAAGTGATGTTTTGTTGAACTCGCACTTCTTCTTGGAGAGAGTGAGCCCTTTTTCCCTCAGACGTTGGAATGCTGCTCGGAGATTCTCGTCGTGTGCCGTTTGGTCACTTCCGAAAACGAGTATGTCATCGCTCAGGTTGATGACACCATTGAGACCGGCTAGGGCTTGTCTGATGGCTTCTTGAAAAACCTCGGCAGCGCTACAGATGCCGAAATTCAACCTGGTGAATTGCCTCAGGCCGACGTGTGTGGCGAACGTTGTAATGTACCGTGATGCCTCGTCGAGTTCTAGCTGGTTATAGCCTTGATTTAGGTCTAGCTTAGAAAACACTGTCGCACCGTTGAGGTCGTTCACAAGCTCGTTGATTGTAGGCGTTGAGTGGCGTTCCCTCTTTATTGCTGTGTTTGCACATCGCATGTCGATGCACACCCGGAGCTGTCCGTTTTTCTTCGGGACACAGACCACTGGAGAGACCCACGGTGTCGGGCCGGTAGGTCGTTGATGTACTCCTCCATAACCCTCTCCTCTCCTGTCATGGCTCTCTCCGTCGACGTTACAGTAGTGTGCAATGTCGGGATATGGTGGAGCATGCTGGCTTGTGGACACTGCAGAGCCCGATGGTTGACTGTCAGTCGATATGTGTTGATCCTTCCCAACATTGAAGAAATCTGTACGTTATACGTGCGTCTGCCTTACCTCTGCCCGTTATCTTCGTCAAAAGTTTGGATGCCGCACGGCGAAATCGGAGTGTACATTTCAATCGATGACGTAACTGATACAGTAGCGCGCCGCGTGGGTGTTATTTGTTTATAAACAATTTAGTCTGACTGACTCTCTCCCTCTCTCTCCTCTTGCCCGCTCTCTCTCTCTTCTTGCCCGCTCTCTCTCTCTCTCTCTCTCTCTCTCTCTTTCTCTCTCTTGCCCCCTCTCTCTCTTTCTTCCTCTCTCTCGCTCTCTCTCTGCAATAAAAAAATGTTTGCTGACATGATGTGTATGCAACTGCGTATCTGCATATATCTGCGCCTAACAAATGTGGCACTACGCACGACTGAAATTTGACATTTATAACCGTAGCAACAGACCTCAGATGAGCCCAGACGCTCTGCGGCTCTTGTTATGTGATGCACAAACGAATTTACTACTAATTGTATGTCAGAGGTCCCAAGTTGGGAAAATCCAAGAAAGGGATCGCTTGTGATAATTGTCCATCGCCGTTTTTTCGCAGTGCGCAAAAACAGGGAAAAGGTTGTTCCGGGCTGCGACATGTGTTGGTCGCGGTGCACCACCATTTTTTATAAAGTATACATTTCAATAAAAATGCAAATTCAAAATGAAAATGCAAAAAAAAACAAGTGTGACATTTGTGGCCTTTTATTGTTCGCTGGAATCAAAGTACATCAACAACCACGGCAAATGTAGTAATTTACTGATGTAAATTTTAAAATATGGCTGAAAAATGTTATGACCAGGACTTTCTGGAATCTTAACGGGACACCTGGACGGTCCTGGTGAGACCGGGACACTTGGGACGTCTGTGTATGTGCATGCAGTCGTGGGAACCTGTAACTTGTATGCACGCGCGCATGCACACAAACATTTATTGATTCTTCTGCTTTAGGCACGCCGTGAAGAGATAAGCAAGCATGTCAAGAAGGTGAAGGAATCGCGCGTGCTTGCATCACTCCTCTCAAGTGATTCTCAGTTCGAACCATTAGATGTCAGTGAGCTGGCTTTCGACCTACTCAGTCACCACCTCAAGAGCTGATGGCGCCATCTATGAAGTCTAGTTCTAGCTGCTGGACATTCCTACTGTATTGATGCTGATGCAAACTGCATTACTACTGTATTCTCATAAGACTATGAATAGTGTTGGTGAATATTTACAGTGATATATAGTGTTACACTATACGTTTACAATATTCTGAGCTCATAGTTTCTCTGCAAGTATTGTTGACAACTCTACATAGTCATGGTTTTCATCCTGTTCTAAATCATCTTTTAAATATAATTAAAATTTGCATTAATAGAATTCATGAATATCAATCCATTCAACAGATTCTAGTCCTGTAATTCTTGTACTTGGTAGGTTGTGTTCTAAATATCAATGTTTTCCATTTTATTTTTATTTTATTAATAGACGTTTGGTTATTGTGTAGTTTTTAGGGCATCTAATGTATTTTTAGAATGGTTTCTTACAAGAGTACTGTCGTCCGTCCACATGTCACCTGCATCCGTCCATCGTAATAGTGGTAAAGTCCTAAACAGCTTCAATTACGTGTTGATATTCATCATGAAGGTATCAGTCTGAAAAGATTGTATCAGTTCTAAACTGGATAATGTTAACGGTCACCATGAACACATTTACTGTACATGTTTTGTATCATATATTAAACGTTATTTATGGAAGAGACCGTTTACAAGTTGGCTTGGTATTCGACTACATAAAAGTGCTAACATGAGTCACATTTATGTGTATATATATATATATCAAGAGCGTATATCAAGGCCCAGTAGGTAGCATCAGAGAGCAGGAGAGCGTCAACTGCGTGAATGCTGAAACATGTTGCAGTTTGCCGGAATTATAACTTCCCCGTCTTTGCCTGTCTTAGTTGCTCAGCTGTCTACCTTGTTATATACCTAACACGCGCATGTCCCTGCGTGCTTCCTATCGCCTGCAGATGCGCTAAGATAATGGAGCGTGAAAATCTGTCTATATTTCGCCCGAAACCGCTCGAATCAGTGTTATTGGCAGCTGTTCACACTTTGCGATGGAGCCGGTTATTGCGGACGATATCCAAAAATTTTGTGAATCGCTGGCGTAGCGTCGATAGTTATGGGTAAGCCTGTTCATATAAAGTTAAGCCGCGCTCGGAAGCACGTCGGTACTCAACAGTCCCCCCTCTCCCAGTACGCCAAGGTCGTTCGACAAATTTTGCGCACTGCCTACTTTTTCTGACGTCCTCCGCAGCGTCTGCCCCTACGTCCAGCCCATAGTTGCCCCCCGCTCGGCATACCCGGTTGTATGTCAGTTATGCGTCGTGACACACGGCCCGCTTATTGTAAGTTCTCCTCAGCTCGCGCCATACGTCTGACGATCATGTCCTCTAGCCCCAGCTACCCCCGCGCCACCTAGTTATTTCTACTCCCGCCATGTAGCTCACACGTGCTCTGCGCTATGAACTCATGCCTCCGTAGCACCTGTCTCCAGCGCCTTGACTGCCGTTATTCTGCACCCCGTGCTCTCACTGAGCCGCGCGCGCACACGGCCACAGAACCGTGTTTATACTTAGTACCGTATCATGGCGTGATTGGCAGCGTTTGCCGCGTTTGGGAATTGGTATTAAAATGGTCGCAGCGTTTCGCGGCCTCTCTCGCCGCTCACCTCCCCGCAGACCCCCGCGCTGATCCGTCCGACCCCCCCTTCCTCGCCCCCCGACTGTCTCCGTCTCCGCCGTCTTCCCATGACCCGCCCCCGTTGCCAGTCCGCCCCCCCTCGGCCCGCAGCACAGCCTCTCTCTCCACTTACGGCTACGCCCCATCTAGACTCGCCTGCGCCCGAACGCTGCCCGCCGCCGCCCTGCGCTAGTCTGCGACACTCCATATTCGCTCCGGCCATACCCACAGCCCCCGACCCCTAGTCTCCCCGCTGCCGCCCCCCGGCACACGCCTCGCGATTCGTACTGGCTCTCTCTCGTCTCCCTAGAGCCTTCTACTCGCCACTCCCCCGTCCCCTAGTCTACGTATCTCACCCGCTCTCCCTCCGCCCCAGCGTCTCTGCCCCTACTCCGCTCCAAGTCCGCCCCCCCCCTTGCACTAGCCTCGCCTACGCCCCCGCCCCCCCCCCCCCGCCCGCCCCCGCCCTGTATACGCCCCACTTTGCACCAAAAAGAATCTATAGTCGCGTATGCAGTTTTATGAGATATTTGATACTTCCGGTTCCACGGGCTGCGTCAAATCGTCAGTGTGCACGCCCACCCCGGGCGCTTACTGCACTGGTTTGTTTTGTGGTTTTGCGCTGCAAGGCTACATATAAGTTTATTTTATATTGTAGATCCTTGGTTTTTTGTGGACTGTATGTTGATTCCGGTCGCGCTGGTGTAGCGCTGATCATACGTTATTACAAGGAGTTTATACTATATATTGTTATTTGCTTATATGTGGTCCTTGGTTTTTCAGCAGTTTACCAGAGCATATAGTCTATTATAGAGCTTATATATATCATCTATATCAGGTGTATGATATAGGAATATGGTTCCTGTTTATCTATCTGATATACCTATATCCATCTACCTCTACTTACTATACATATATATAATAGGAGCATATAATCATTTTGTAAATCATTAGAGTTTTGTGGATAATGGTGCAGGTCAATGACTGGCATTGCTGGACGCAAGATCGGTGACGGGGAAAGAAAGTTTTTTGTCCATGCCCCCCCCGCTGACGCCGCCCCCACGCCCCGCCGACGCGCTTCTGTGCACGAACCTCCAGGAAGTCCGCACTAGACCGCCAGCGACCAGCCTCCTCGGGCAGTATCACATCCGCAACTCTCGCGCCGCTCCCCCGCGCTGTTTTCTCACCACGACACCTCCACCCAGATTCTTCCAGCTCAGTTGCTCCCCCTAGCCGTAGGTCATCGTCCGAACTACGGCCCCGCGTTTATCTCCCGTCCCTCCGCAATTCTCAGCACAGCGTACCGCCGAAGAGCTGCCCCCGCCATCAACTCATCACCCCAACGCATCCCCCCCGTCACAAATAAACGGCGCCCCCGTTTCAATCCTAAGCCTCAATACAACTACCTGCCGCTGGTCTATCCGCCTCTCTCCCCCGTTGTCCGTCTCTCTCCCTCGCTCATACGCTTTGATATATTTATCAGGCGTGCGCCAGTCACATGTAGCACTGTAGGCCCGGGCCTCCAGCCTTTTTCTCCTGGGCAGTTCTATCTTCTCCCTTTTTCACCACATATCCTCACCCCATCAGCTTTGCCCTGGGAACGACCGTTAAGACGTCTAGGACAGGAAAAACCAGCTCTATTGAACTCGACGCTCGCCCGCAATTGGCTACCCTCGCCCGCGTGACCTATTCTTCTGTCTTAGGCTGTCTTTCTATCGCGTGCGTTTATTCACACTCTACCGCCCGAAAGACTAGGATCCCCGATTGTCGTTATTTTACATTTTATCGTTGTACACTATATTTACTGTTTGTTTTTGGGTTTAAGTGGATATTGAATTGAGGTTCAGCGTTCGCAACCACCCGCCCGAGGGCCCCTCCCGGCCCCGCGACACCTCAGACGCCCTATACACCCCCTCCCCCCCGGCGCCGACACAAGGGCCGTGTTCGACCCCTCTGGCGACCCCCCCCCCCCGCCCCCCACCCCAGGGGTTGTACACGAACCACCATTTTCTTGTCGCTCCGCGCCACACCGCATGGTGCGCGCTCCGCGTCAGAGTCGTGCCCCGCCGCTAAAACTTTTCACATCCTCGGTCACGCCCTACCTCCCCTCTTCCTTAGTGACGCCCCGCTCACCCCTCCCCTCCCACCTTACCCTCCCCTCCTCTCCCTTCCTCACCTAGTACTCGTCATCCGCCCCGCCCTCAACCCTCCAAGCACGGCGCCCAGAAACATCTTGTTTTTCTCCCGATTGTTGCTATGTGTCTTACCTCATTTTCTGCGCAGCTCTCCAGCTAATCTTTACGTTTCTCGTCCGCCCCCCCCCCCCGCCCAGCCCCCACACGGGTGTGTGTATAGGCGTTAGCCTGGCCCCCCCCTCTAGATGACTGAAAGATGCCGGGTCATGGACTCCTTGTTTAACTTACTTTGATATAACTGCGAAGAGTCCACGCCATGTTTTAATGTTTGCCATTTTATGTAGGCTGAGTATCGCCGTCACTATAATCTCGCTACATTGTCGGAACCATCTGGGCCATTGCAGAAAGTGTACAGTGCACACCTTCTCTTCTGGTACCAGCACACTGGTTGATTGATTTTATACCCCAGCTGTTACGGTACGTGCGCGCATTGGAGCCGTGACGTGGAGGTGTGTACATCGTTCCGTAATAATTTTTGGCCGCAGACCCATCACCGCTACGGTGAGATAGTTACATTAACATACTGATTCTCGCTGGAGGTCAGGTCTACAGAGGCGGATCAAGATAGTCAATCCGGTTGCTGGCGATAAATCTATAAAACTATTGACCCCGATGCACGCATCATCAGCCTCACAGCAAACTCAGCCCCCCACCAGACGAGACTGAAAAACGAACGACACAAAATGTTAAAACCAAAGAAAACAACCTATACAACATCAAATACATCGTCGGGGACAAAACTAAACAGCCAGGTGAGTGACTGAATTATAAGCGCAGTACCACGCGACGAACCAACGCAAAACAGAGCCCCCGCGCCGAGCAGACAAGGGAGAACACCAGGGCGCGGGCCACAGAAACACGAGACCTATTTTGAGCCGGCTTTCCCTATCCGCCTCATGATTACCCTTATCACGTAGCACCCGGCCAACGGCAATTGGGAGGACAAAGGCAGCTGGCCCCCATATGGCAACACTGGAAGAAGTGGGAGGTGAGGCGACCGTATTTCTCGCATCTCTCTTCTCTCTCTTCTTCTCTCGTGCCTCTCATCTCTCTCTCCTCTCCTTTCTCTCTCTTTCTATCTCTCTCTTAATTTCTCTCTCTCTCTTCTCTCTCCCCCCGCTCTCTTCTCTCGCTTCTCTCTCTCTGCGTGCGGTGCGCCGAGAGGCCGTGTGTATGGCCACTGTGGTCGTGGTGCCCATGTGTTGATTTGTGGTGTCGTGCCTCTGGACTCGAAAGGGTGCGTAACGCCATGTTCGTGTCCAATATACCCGCACGCGTAGCAAGTTTTCATAGGTGTCCGCTCGCGGGTATTGGCTAGTTGGTTGCCGCTGCCTCAACGCAAAATGCATACTGCCTTCATCCGCCTGTCGGCCGTGCTGTGCTGTATGTTAGTGATAAATGTAAATGCACAGAACCCCGGGCCGATGAAGAACGGCAACCACGCTGAAATGAGAAGCTTTAAGTTGCAGATAGAGGCAGAGATGCGGCAGTTGACAGAGCGAGTAGCAGCTTTGGAGAGAAAATGCGACGGTTGCAGCGTAGACACTGACGTTCCAGTACGGCCCGTGCATGCCGTGCTGTTTCCGGAATTTAGTCACTAATGAAGAGCTGATGTCTGCTTGGTGATGACAGCGCATGTCGTCTCAGACGCCTGGAATCTGTGAACTTACGACGAGCCGGGGTATGCGAGCTGTGGCTGTGAGCGCACGTGAGCGAGCAAACGAGAACAACGCTTGATGTCGTACCGTCTTGTACGCTAAATTTGGGCGATTTTTTTCGATATTATCAAGGCCCTAGAACGGGGGTGGGGCGAGGATCCACGCTAGTTTTCAGCATTGCTTGATTGGTATGGTTATATTGAACTTGAGTCGCATGATTCTTGAATTATTGATTCATGAGTCAAATTGTGCATTTGCTGTGCTGAATGCAACGAAACACGGTACATATCATCCAAAGTTGCCTCTATATCGGCTTTATGACGCCTTTGGCGGCTACTTTCAGGTTGAATGGTTCACCTGAAGATGCTTTTGAGTATAGAGGAGGTAGCTGGAGGCTTTTGGGAGCACGCGTCTACCGAATGTCCCGCCGGGCACGTCAGTTTTTATTATCATTATTCCACTGCTCCATATTTTAACTATTTAGTATACTCATATATATTGAGAGAGCAGAGAGCGAGCAGAGAGAGAGAGAGAGAGAGAGAGAGAGAGAGAGAGAGAGAGAGAGAGAGAGAGAGAGAGAGAGAGAGAGAGAGAGAGAGAGAGAGAGAGTGAGCGCGAGAAAGCGCGGAAAAGATACAGGAGGGATAGGAATACTGTAGAAGCTTTATGATTCTGTGTTCATAATAATTAATTAAATCATACACTTTTTTTTCTAGACGCGCTATCCTCGTGCTATGATTGATGTCAGTGGTAAAGTACTGGATGGCAAAATAATATACTTTCGTGGCTTTGGACGTTCTGACATGAATTGGTATGGTTAAAGATGTTTGTTTTTTTAAATAATTATAGATTGAGTTTCTAACAAAATATGTTCAATATATGACTTATATCTTTATATTTAATCCATGTTTAAATATATTATAAGTGATGCCTCATAACAATATTGCAAATAATAACAAAATGTTTACGTTCTTATAATGTAGTACATGTACACTGTACTTAAAAAAGGCCAACGTCGCACGATAACACTGAGCCCGGACTATTCGTTCCCAATGACCGTTGCGTAGGAGGCGTGATACGGAAAGCCGGCAGAGCTGGCAACGATGGAAACATAAAAATATATAGAGACACTAGGATTAGTCTAACTAGTATATTATTTCTATGGATGGTAACGATGATAGCCATGAGGTCAACTGTCGTCAATGATAGATAACACATAATAGAAAGATGTAGCCATGTTCTCCACCTCGAGTTAATAACTTAGCAGAGCGCGAGTGTATGCCCTTTCATACACCCTCCTCTCGGAAAAAAATGTGTTCAGCGTCTGGTTTTATTGAAGCTACGACATCTGGTATCCATCATAATCAATACGCTGACAACGGTTTATAGCAAAGCGTTTGGACTAGGGGTAATCTGACGTCATCATCTTAGGAATACTATTAGGAATAATCGTCGTTCTACTAATGAACCTCTCGTTTCGTGTACATCAGCTACTTAATCATCTCATTCCAGTCTGGTCGCAATCGTTTATTTATTGTTTTGGAAGATTTATAGAATTTTATATATATGTTTAAGAGGTTTCAGGAGATTCTCGGATGCACTGCTACGTACAGTTTGCGTCAGACTCGTAGTATCGAGCTGCATGTTCTTCTGCTCTTGCCTTTCGTAACTAGGGGCGGCGTCGAGCTGAGAACCCACGAAACGGACGCCCTCGCTGTCATCCCGCTTATTGTCCAGCAGAGGTGGCAGGCTGATCCCCGGTCTCCGGTAAGCGAACACTCGCGTGAGGGTGTGATGTAACGGTAATGCAGAGGTGGCAGGCTGTCAGAGCATAGTTTGCGAGACTTCGGAAAAAGTACGGACGACGCATGCGCGCAGCATATACTCACACACGCGCTTTCACGCACGCACGCACACGCACATGCACACACACACACAAACACACACGCACGCAAGTAGTAGGGAAACCTGTACTCTGGCCCTGAGGGCGACTTCTGATTGGTCGAGAGACACCACGTGACCACGCCCACGTGACGTGACAACACTGCAACGCGACCACGTGACGTCACTTCCGGTGAGGATGGGTCGCTTCTGGCGCGCACACACACACACACACACACACACACACACACACACACACACACACACACACACACACACACACACACCACACACACACACACACACACACACACACACACACACACACACACACACACACACACCACCACCACACACACACACACACACACACACACACACACACACACACACCACACACACACGCACGGCGTCTCACCGTGGGCTACGTGACTGGTTATGCGGCTACCCGCTTTGAAGTTCGTCTTACTTGGCCAAATTCAATTGCCGAATCCTTTGGTCGCATTTCCCGATGAAGGGCGATTAATAGCATCGGACGTTCTATACGAAACCGACCTCAGAATGTCTATAATGTATAATGTAAGGAAATCTCCTGACAACAATAAAAAGACTTCAAAGCTAAACACGAGATATTTTGTGCTAGCCATCATCCTCGTCGTTGTTATTATTATCGTCATCATCATCGTCACGGTCGTCATCGTCGTCACCGTCGTTAGCGTTGTCGTTATTATATTCTTCATCGTGACAACGTCACTATCTG